CATTAAGGTTGGAGTCTGGTGTGCAGTTACCTCCAAGAGAATAATAGGGCCAATCTTTTATAATGAAACCATAAATTCTGAACATCATGTAAATTTAATACTTAGACCCTTTTTCCAAGAAATGACAGACGAAGAAACGACTTGAGGTTTCTTCATGCAAGACAGTGCTACAGCTCACACAGCTGATCGGTCGATGTTAGCATCAAGAGAAGTGTTTGGTGAACAAGTTATCGATCTGTGGCCTCCGCGTTCCCCAGACTTAAACCCGTGCGATTTTTACCTGTGGGGCATGCTGAAGAACAAAGTTTATGTAAACTATCCGCACACTTCAGAAGAACTTAAAGAAATATTCGAGAATTCATTTGGGCAATATCCCAAGAAGAGCTTCGTCGAGTATTTCGAAACATGTTAACGAGATGTGAAGTTGCAAGCACAAGGAAGTCACTTTGAACTTCTTTTGTGATTTAAGGTAAGAACAATCAATGCAATAACATGTATCAGTGACGAGAAACACTCGCAGCTCCGTTATTAGCTGCACTGAAACTGATTCGCCTGTGACTCACGGGAAGAAGACGAACCAGTCCCGCCGACGTCAACAGCGCGCCGGCCGACCACGCAATCCAAGCACGACCGCAGCCTCATAAGTTGTAGACCCGGTATATCTGCTTTGGTTTAGGTTCCAGTGACAGGCTTTGGAAATCCACGTAGAAGATATTCTGAATTTTAAAAAGTGAGGATTTTTATTTTCACGATTTGAGTAACCGGTAGCTTCTCAGTGACTTTGCTGCGTCAAGATATCTAATCGTGAGGCGACTCAAGTGTCTGCAAACAGAAACTGTAGAGCGGGGAAGGTTTTGAAGTTTGTAAAATTTCACGTAGCTGAAAACTGCATCATCGTTATTTGCCCTGAGATAGGCGTATAAGTGTGATTAAGAGTCATATGGCAGGATGAACGTACAGTCCGCATTTCTGTCATGGAGTAATCACGTGGACCTTTGACCACCTCTGACGTAGACAAAGTGCATTCTATGGAAGTAACTTGGAAGTAATCGCAATTTTATAGTAGCATAGGCGTGAAAGTGTGAATTGATGAGAGATTCACACGGAAATTAGGAATTAAGACATAGTAGGCAAACGAAATTACGCGTAGACGACGACGTCGTCCATGTCACGAATAAAATAATACAGGGTGTTGGAAGTTGAAATAAGTGAAAGGCCTGGTATTGACATTTCAAGTGAAGTTTTCTAATTATTGTTTAATAAAGAAATGATTTAATTGTTTTAATTTTTCTGATTGTTGTTTAATCCTCCATTTCTCTTTATAATAGGTAGAAGAACTACACGTGCCACTGTTTCGTCTTGAAATTCTTCGTATTTATGTTGACTCGCAGTGAGGGGAGATTTTTTAAGAGCATCTAAAATTTCTGACTTGTTGAATTATAATTATTAATTTTATAGTAGAGTAGGCATCAGTTGTAGCAAATTGAAGTGTGAATTTATATGATATTTAATATTTATTTGGCTGAGTTTTCCACTGCCTAATTAAAGCGTGCATTGGTAGTGAGTAACCGCGTCATCTCCAGAAAACGTCTTTTTATTATAAATAAAATAATACAGAATTTAATGAAGTCAACTCGAAGAATTAATGGCAGTGTGAATGGAGTTAGTGCGTCTTAAACATGAGTAAAGTTGTAGCAGACTTCAGACCGCAGCATCTCAGGATAGAGCGGCCATTTTGAGAAACAAGGGATGAATGCGGAACGTGGCCATGTCTCAGCGACGTCTGGATCCTCGGCTCGTCATCGGTGAGTGAAATTGATCTCTCCAATGTTGTGGTAGTAGTAGTTTGTAGCTTAGTTTTTCCCGTAGTTGAGAGATTTTAGCTAATGAACTCATTATTTCCATCCTTGAAGGAAAATTAGTTACAAAACTTGTTCTTTATCTTGTTATTTCTTCTTATCTTGTTCCTTAGACGGAATAGACTGATTTGTTTGTGGGATAAATTGCGCCAGCGTCTAATTACGTACTACGACATGAAGGCTTATGGGTTATTGCAGTTTGAAAAACCAGACTATGACTCGGGCGAAGAACGAGGAAGGAAAATGGATATACAAGAAGCTACGTGGAACGTGGAGAAATGAATGAAATTGGGAATGAAATTCTGACATTTGGTTTAAATGTAGTCGCTCTGCAAGAAATTCGATGGCAAGTGCAAATATATAAGAAAAATTATATATTTTTTTTTTCCCAGTGGAACCCACAAATAGAACTGGACAGAGTTTGAACCTATTAATGGCAAGACTTTGGAAAGTGACGATTTGAAGGAAAGTTTACGAATATCACATGCCCCTACAGAAGATAAAGAAGAATTTTATGACCTATTAAATAAAATATGCTATCATATGACATGCTATTGAAATTCGAAAAATTAGTAATAAATTCATGTATCGAAAGTTGCAGGTAAATGAAACTAGTGGAAATGGGTGTGATATTTTTAGCCCAATTTGCTTAAAATGAATAGATTAATAATAATGAGCACTTGCTTTCGTCATAAGTTTATACATAAAGGTACACGGAAACCACCAGAGTGGATCAGATGGACCAAATTGTGATTCGGGTCACTTTTTAGTGAAAGCAGTTTTGACGGAAAGAATGTCATACTTGAAAAGAAAGAAATGGGACTTGAAAAGAAACTGAAAGATCCAAATTGTATGAGACAGTATCGGGATAGTTTGAAAGAATCACAGCATTTTGTCTTGTACAATGATAATGATGAGGAGGAAAGTGTGGGACTAGAATGGAATAAAATCAAACAATCAATCACACAATCTGCAACTGACAATATAGGAATAGAGAAACAAGGAAGAAATGCAGATTGGTTTGGCAATGATTGTCTTAGGTTTGTGGAAAAGAAAAATGAAGCTAGAAAAATAAAGTTACAACATGAAACAAGATCAAAATGTGAAATATATAATAACTACAGAAGGGAAGTCAATACAAAATGTAGGAAGAAGAAAAGAGAAATTATTAATGAACAATTACAAACAATACAAGAAGTCAATTCTCAAAATTAAAATAGAAAATTTTATAGGTAAACTTTAATTATAAAAAAATTGCAATAAACCAAAACTCAATGCATGTAAGGATAAGCAAGGTAAAATAATAGGAGATGAAAAAGAAATTTTAGATAGATGGACTGAGTATTTTGAAGAGCTCTTAAATAAATAATAGAGATAGTAAATATTTAACAGCTCAGCCCTTTGTTGAATGTCCCATCATGAATTAAGTGAAAGAAGGAATGAATAATATAATTGAAAAATAACAAGGCTCCGGGTGAGGACTCTATTACTGCAGAATTAATAAAACAAGAAAGCCAAGTTCTGTTAGGAAGAATACATAAGTAAATACATAAATATGATATGGGAAAAAGAAAGAATGCCATCAGAATGGAAAAAAGGTCTTACATGTCTGATTTTTAAAAAAGGAGGTAAAATGCAATGTAGTAATTACAAAGGGATTACCCATTTAAATGTAATATATAAAATCTTCACAAATATTATACTCAAAAGACTTAATGTATATATTGAAGAGATAATAGGCGATTACCAATGTGGATTCAGACTTAACAGCAGTAACCCTGAGCAAATATTTGTAATGAGACAGACAACGGAAAAGTGTTATGAATATAATACGAATTTACACATTCTATTTATTGTTATTAGACAAGCTTTTCATAGAATATATATAAATCAATTGTTTACAGCATACATGGACAGCATTACGTTCCAGCCGCTTTATCCCAGGGAAAAATTCGCGATATCTTCTATCTATCGATCAATCTGTCTGTCTGTCTGCTTCTCTGCTTGCCTATCCATCAATGAATGAATGAATGAATGAATCTATCAGTCTGTCTGTCTGTTTGCCTGTCTGTCAATCAATCAATCAATCTGTCTGCTTCTCTGCTTGCCAATCAATCAATCAGTGAATGAATGAATCTATCAGTCTGTCTGTCTGTTTGCCTGTCTGTCAATCAATCAATCAATCAATCTGTCTGCTTCTCTGCTTGCCAATCAATCAATCAGTGAATGAATGAATCTATCAGTCTGTCTGTCTGTTTGCCTGTCTGTCAATCAATCAATCAATCTGTCTGTCTGCTTCTCTGCTTGCCTATCTATCCATCCATCCATCAATCAATCAATCAATCAATCTATCTATCTATCTATCTATATTTCTATTTACATCTTAATCTGTATATCCATACGTAGACTAACCGAAGCACGCACCCATCCACATCAGTCATGTTTTAGTAGCTGTTATTTTGTTTGTTAAGAGAAAAATGTATATTCTGGTATGTGTTATATGACATCGACATTTTATGATATTTCTAATGCCAATTTATTGTGCTAAATGCTATTGTAATAATACTGCATATAAGGTCGTTGTTTTACGGTGGGTTGGGTTGTCCTGGAGAATTGAGATCGTGTGGTCGTGGGGATGTCCTGGAGAATGCCGTAGAATTGCAGGAAAATTCTTGGAGAAGTCCTGGTGTGTCTCTCACTCGGTGTCTTGCCGGACTCAATCTCTGCCTCGTCTTGGAAGTGGTAGTAATGTCTTGGGTGAATCTCGTACATCATTGCTAAATGTGCCCCTGCCTCGTCTTCGAAATGGTAGTACATTCGATGAATTTCTGCCGATCTTTGCCAGAACCGGTCTCTGTCTCACCCGGTCAGTGTCTCGCTCGGTGTCAGCCGGACTCGATCTGTGCGTTATCATATCTCTGCCGGACTTGGTCCTATTTGCGTATGGTCCGGTGTCTTGGTCGTGTTCGTAGCTTGTAGACCTGTGTCTCTGTCTGAGTGAGTCCCTTTGGTTCTACCACACGTCACACTGCAGCTCAGGTGGTTACAGCCTCTCTTTTCGACGTAAGTTCGTCTATACGGAAGGGTCATTCGGCAAAAAGTGAAAGGAAAATGTGTAATATGGTTACCTAGGAAACATCATCATAATTCTGTACGCTACTGGGCTCATAGGAAGCGAGAAGTATTTGCCGTGATAAGGCAATTGTTTATATCAATGAGAGCTCGTAAAGCGCAACATGACGGAGATCTTGGCGAATCTTGAATTCCAATATTGACCTACAATTCATACTTGAAGAATATTCATGTGCTTCCTATGTTGTGGAGTATGTAAATAAGACGAACCGAGGCACAAGCAACTTGCATAGACACATGATTCAACTGCAAGAAGACTACTGTGAACTATTGAAGAAGGTGAGTTTGAGTGTCTTAAACAGCGTCGAGATGAGTAGCCAGGAATCAGCTTGGTACCTGATGAGGCAATGAAGCAGATTTGTCAAATACACTTTGGCCTGACGAGAGATGAAATTGTATAAAAACACTGAAACAGATGGAACAAGAAAATCTCGATGACAATTCCACTGGTGTATGGTATGATAATATTATATATACGAAAGTATGAAAAACGTCGTATAGACTGGACGGAAAAATATTGCGCTGGCAGACTTTGCTGCGAGTACAGATGGAACGTACAAATGCAGAATCATTCGATATATAATAATTACGATATGAGTGACATGGTATAAACTACAAACGAGAGATGGTTTTGTTGTACTTTCCGTTTAAGGACGAGGTGTTGGATAGAAACAAGTTTGTGGATACAGTAACGAAGATGTTAATATGATCGGTAGAAAACGCTACGTGGTAAAACGTTTACTCTAAAATTACTGATGGAAACATATAATAGGTTTTGCGAGCAACAGGACGTTTTAAGAAACGCATGTGCATCCATAGGAAAGGCTGCTCTGCGTTTAGAATTACCATGTCAAGGAAGCAAGGAGGACTTAGTAGGGAGACGTTGCAAATGTACAGATCGGCATTTCATAACGTTCAAATGTTGTTCGTGGACGAAGTAAGCATGATTGGAGGTGATACTTTACTCACCATAAATGCGAGAATACAGGCAATATGCAATGACTATGATAAACCATTTGGGGGGAATGAATGTGTGTAAATGCGAAAGCCATAATGTACAAGCCTCACAAGAATTCCTTGGCTGGTGCTAATCTGTGGCAATCACTGATGTTCTTTCCTCTGATGCAAGTAATGAGACAAAGTGACGTACAATTTTCTGACATACTAACGAAATTTGGGATCGTGTTGTGACGCGAAGAGAAGAAGCCATGTTGGATGCTCCTGAAGCCATAAGATTATTCTATCTCAATGAAGACGTTGCTGTAGATTGGGTACCAAAACCGAGAACAGTTGGCTATCACGCGCACCAAGTTGCTCAAGATGAAGGTTGCTGAAACAGGAGGATTGCCGTTTGTGATGAAGCTGTGCGTTGGGAAAACCTTATACAGTAGGGCACCGCATATACTGCGGGTTAGGGACCAGACCCCCGCCATAAAGCGAAAATCGCCGAAAAGCGGATCTTTGCCTTATTTCACTTGCAAATGCATATCAAAGCCTAATAAGATGTTTACGCTATGAAATAGTAAGTGCACAATAGCGCCAGCCTAAGAAAACGATATGAAATAAAATGAATCCACACAACTAAAAGTTTTTCCATGTCGGCAATAAGGCTATCTCTTTTTCTTATGACTTTAGAGTTCATTCGTGTGGCACTTTTAATTCCTTTAACACTTTCTCCTTAGCGTTCACGATGGCACTAACAGTTTTGCGAGCTAAGCTTAGCTTACGTCCTATCTCGGCCATAGACATGCCTTGTTCACGAAGTTTAATTATATCTAACTTGGTATTTAAAGTAAGAGGCTTACGACTCCTCTTTTTATCGCTACTACCCTTTGACGCCATTGTAATTACACTGTAGAAACACAAAAATATTACATAAATATACAGTTTGTAATAACTTTGAAAAATTGCCAGAAATACGGAGACGCGGAGCGTACAAAAGCTGTAAACAGATTGAATCAGCGACGAGAAAATGGCGCCGGACGCACTTCTCTGACTCAGCTGTTGAGCGCCGTATTAGCGAATCGCCGTAAAGCGGGGCCCTACTGTATGATCACTAGCAACGTCGATGTTGAGGATGGTTTGGTTAGCGGTAGTATGGCAACTTTAACGTACATTGAATACAATCGTGAGCATCTCGCTCGTGTGCAGCGGCTGTGGATGCTTGTGGAAACCAAAATTGCGGTACAAAGGGCTAGCTTCACAACCAAAAGTACTGAAATACGATTGGACACCATCAAATAGACGAAGCACTATATCTCACATTTAAAAACATGCAACTTAAATGTAAAAGATTACAATTCCCGTGCTTAAGTCGCAGGATGGTACGTTTCAACAAATTGTATTCAACTACAACAAGAGTCTAGATCATGGGTCGGCAAACTACGGCCCGCGAGCTAAGAATGGATTTATTTGAAATTTCAAACTGATTTGTGCATTTCCCATGCTATCAGAAATTAAAAGAAGAATTGAAATCTCCATTCGCACACAAATTTGCAGCGGATATATTTTCTGAACTGAAACTACAGTTCCAGCAGCGTTTTTCGGATCTTGATCCAAGCGCAGAAGACATTTACATATTTCAAAATCCATTTGACTACAATTGAGAACCTTCCACCTAACCTTCAATAGGAAGTGATTAATCTCAAGAGAAGAATCTAACAGAATTCTATAAATGTCTTCGAAGCGATGAATACGGCCAATTAAGATCATATGCTCGGGGATTTATATCTGTATTTGGCAGCGCCTACCTGTGTGAAAAGACATTTTCAAAGATGAAATATGTAAAATCTCAATACAGGTCAGCGTTAACTGATGAACATTTACAATAAATGTTGATGATAGGGAGTACTGAATCTAAACCTGAGTTTGATGAAATGTTATCTCATAACAGGCAATTCGATTCTACTCAATAGTAGAGCTCAATTTCAAATGTAGTCTACTTATTATTATTACGTTGCATTTTGTTCAATAAATTTGTTGAAACTTGTTTTTTTTTTCGTGTTACATAAGTAGGCTTGCCTTTATAAATATCCTCGAGTTTGCCTCTTGGCCCGCAGAGACTAAAATATTTACTATTTGGTTGTTTAGAAAAAATGTTTGCCGACCCCTGGTATAAATCATGAGTTCTCGCGTTACATCATTGGACGGTTTGTACATCACAAGCAGAAACGACCACTTCCTGGAACAAACAACCCGAAGGAGCTGAGGCGTTTAGAAACACATACATTGCCCACGATGACTGCTTCGGTGAGAGCATTCATAAGGAGTGCTGGTATTCGTGATCTAAAAATGACCACTCTAAACGTACAGGGTTTAAAAACTCACGTGCAAGACAACTGAAACCGATATCCTGGCGCTGACCGAAACTGTAAATCTGGAAGGTTATAAATGCATCACGTGACGAACAAAGGGCAGGAGGAGTGGCCATCATGGCTACCCCACATCTGTTGATGAAGTTACCTAAGAAGGATGGAGGAGATTACAGAGGTGATATCTGTGCGGCAGACTTATTGATGATTGTAAGAGATTTGTTTTGAGTTATTTGGGAAATTATACAAAGATGTTTTCAGTTATGGCCACAGAGAATCCTAATACAATGCCGATAATATTGCCAGGAGATTTTTAACATTGATTTAAAGAAGGAGGAAAATCAAAGCTTTGTCACATTTATGGAGGTCACGTTTGGATTAATGTTGATGTCAAATCCTCGATGTAGTACTACTAGATAAAAATCTTGAGCGAAAGTAATTCAAGTTGAATAAGCAAAGTCTTAATCAAACTTTACTCAATTGTAAAGCATGTATAAAGGAAATATTTAGAATAAAGCCAATATATAAACTTCCTTTCCGTATAGACGTATTTACGTCAAATTCTCCGGAACCGTGGTTCCACTGTCAATGTGTGGAGAGATTGAAGGGAATTTGTCTGCGAGTAAGAGCCTCCGACACTCAGAGAACATTGTCGGCGAGTAAGAGCCTCCGACACTCAGAGAATATACGTGGGGCAGATGGTGAGGCGACTTTAGCACGGACGAAGCGAATTCTCTTTTCTTGTGTCGCTGTGATATTTCGGAGACGCTTACTTTTATTTTTTCTTAAGACACACAAAAAATAGGAATATATTCCTAATTAAACTGCTCGTAGGCGGCTCGATGATTCGGCTGTTGCGTTTGATAGAAACGTGCCTACTCGGTGGAAGGATTAAAACTTGAGAGCAGCAGCCCGCGTTGGTTCACCTCGTGTAGCAGCTTTGTTAATAGGATCTTGTCACAGAGCTTGCCGACAGTGTCAAGAAGATTGGTTGGTCTGGAGGAAGAAGGCAGCGTGGGGTCCTTCCGCGGTTACAGTATGGACACCACGCGGAGGACCGCGATGAACACTTTCGTGAGAAAGGTTATCGCGCGCCGTGGAAGATGTCTCAGGGACCCTATTCGGTATACCGTTGGGGCCCCGAGCCTTGCCAACCTTGAGTCCCTCGATGGCCTGAAGGACCTCCGAGGGACTGGTTAATGTCGGTTCACTTGCGGGGGCATCGCCTCGTTAACCATGTCAATAACAGCCCGGTCTGACGGGTCGTCCACCGGCAGAAACTGGATCTCAAGGTTGTCGGCGTCTGAAAGAGCCAGTGCTCCTCGGCAGTAGTAAGATTACAGGGTGTCGCTCCACTGTTCGTCCGTGAACTCGTTGAGCCGATAGGTCACCGACCTCTGGAGTCGGTTGACCTGGGCCTTGAGAGCGGGGTCTTTCGTGACCTGCCACCGCCTCCTCAGCCGGTTCTTCAGGCGTTTTTCATCCTCAATACTAGGAAGACACGGCATGGGTTTGTTCTAACAATGACGTACGAGATTCACACAAGACACTACCACTTGGAAGATAAAGCAGGGGTTGATTTACTAATGTTTTGCTTGATTCTTCACAGACATTACCACTTCGAATTCAAGGCAGGGGTTCGTTTACCAGTGACATACATGATTCATTCAAGGCACTACCACTTCCATGACAACGCAGGGGTTTGTTTTAACAATGGCGTACGAGATTCAAACAAGACACTACCAGTTCCAAGGCAAGGCAGGGGTTTGTTTTAGCAATGACGTACGAGATTCACCACAGACATTAACAATTCGAAGAAAAGGCAGGGGTTTGTTTTAGGAATGAGGTATGTGATTGACCATAGACGTTACCACTTTCAAGACAAGGCAGGAGTTTGTTTTAGCAATGATTTGCGTAATTTACATAATACACCACCAGTTCCTACACACGGCAGGGGGCTGTTTTACCAATGATTTACGAGATTCACAGAAGACACTACTATTTGCAAAATGAGGCAGGGATGTCTTTTAGCAGTGACTTGCGTGATTCATACAATATGTGTAGCGTGTTTCAAAAGTAGCTTTACAAGTTGAGGAGGGCGAGATATCGGTGAACTGATAGGAGAAAAATATAATCTCAGAAACACTGGAAGTTTTATGTCCATCGGATTTTTATGGTTGAATGTGAGTTTCATTTGTTATGCGGCAATATCTTGCTACACGTGGTGTAGTAGCATCTCCGGTGACACTTGAGCGGCGGTAATTGGAGTTTGGAGTTCGGCCACATTTGCAGGTTAGGGTGGCACGTACACTCGATGTTTAAGAAATGCAAAGAAGAAAAAATATAGAGGTGTAACGAGGTGACCATGCTATTGGTGCGGCCCGACCGATCCACCGACCTGGGAAACGGTTGTAGAGGTACTCCCGCACTTCTCCGAGGTAATGAGGGGGTGCACCGTCTTGCTTGAAGTGAATGCGTCCTTCGTGGTGTTCTTCGTCAAGTTGAGGAATGAGGAACTGTTGGGGAATGTCCAGATACACGATGCCGGTAATGGTCTTCTCCATGAAAAAGTACGGGTCGCACGCTTTATCCTTGCTGAGGGCTGAGAACACATGTTCCAGGAAGGCGCGTGGATTTTCACTACCCCGAATCCTGCAGTTGTGTGCGTTGACCTTACCAGTGACATGGAACGTGCTTTCGTCACTGAAAATTACTGAGTCCAGAAATCCTTTGTCTTGAACGCGACGTAATATTTTTCGGTACTACAGTTTATGTGCATGAAACTTGATGTGTTTGGCTAAATTCGTGCATTTAAAAATATTGCGTACGTCGTTTAAATAAATTTATATTCTGCTGAGAAGTTGTAAAGCTACTTTTGAAAGACGGTGTATACTACGACTCGACACACACGGCGATTCACCCAAGACTCTACTACCAGCTCTTGCAATTTGCTTTATGCGTGTATCATTGTAATTATTGTTATGATATGAATAAGTTGTCGTATGCTACATGGGACGTGTGAATAAAATATATCGCCTGCTGAGAACAATAGTGACGTAAGTCAGAAATCTCAGTTTGGCGCAACTGCAATCCTTGATCCCTCTTCTACCATAATTACAAGTTATTCCGAGTAAATTGCTTTGAATTAATTATGTAATTTGTATGTTTTCTGCATCTTTTGAGTTGTGTCGCTAAATGCATTACGTGATGCATAATATTTCGTTTTGTAAAGTAGTTTATTGTTAAAAAAAAATTGGATTTAACATATTAATTAACGTTTGGAATAATAATGATAATCATCAATCTACAACTTTTTCTGGAAGAAGGGTAAGCTAATGTTATCTATAGAATGACGTTGATGTCAAAAGGTTTGTGCTCTTTGCTGACAAGATGATAATGGTAATTAATTAGTTAAAGCTACTCTGAGGTTTGGCTTTTTAATATTGCATATCACATGAATTATTATTATTATAATAATTATTAGACCCATAAAGCAATAATAATAATAATAGTAGTAGTAGGTAAAGGAACTGTAAAGCTATTGAAATCACAAAGTAGGTGCCTACATTAAATACGTAATTTAGAAAATGACGCGTTTACTGACGTAAGTCGAAAATAGGTCTTTTAACAATTTTCACAGTTGGTGCAGTTACTGACGTCACTATTGAGGTTAACACTCGCCAATCCTAACGCCATCTAGGTCGTCGTCTCATGAACGAAGACGGTAAGAGATACGAAGGAAACCTCGACAATGGTGGCGTTTTATCGTTCACCTAGCGGCGCAGGGCGGAACTATTATTAATATGTGTATACGTAATATTTTATAAATAAATGGAGCAGAAGGAATATATAAACGTTGTTTTTTATTGTTTGAGAGAATACGCATTCTAAGGGTTTTTTAAAATTAATATAGATAGACGGGTTTAGTACTAATTTAAATTCGACAGTTATTCTATTGTAAGATATCAGGAAGTTTTAAATTGCAGTATGTCAAGAGCCTTGGTAGCGCAGTGGTTAGCGTGCTTGCCTATGGATGCAAGGGTCGGTCGATCGAAACCCGGCCAGGTAGAGTTTTTTAAAATTAATATAGATAGACGAGTTTAGTATTAATTTAAAATCGACAGTTATTCTATTGTAAGATATCAGGAAGTTTTAAATTGCAGTATGTCAAGAGCCTTGGTAGCGCAGTGGTTAGCGTGCTTGCCTGTGGATGCAAGGGTCGGTGGATCGAAACCCGGCCAAGTAGAGTTTTTTAAAGTTGATATAAATAGATGAGTGTTTAGCATTAATTTAAATTCGTCAGTTATTCTATTGTAAGATATCAGGAAGTTTTAAATTTCGGTATGTCAAGTAACTTAGTAGCGTAGTGGTTAGAGTGCCCGGCTTCGGATTGTAAGGTTCGCTGGTTCGAATCCTGGTTAGGTAAATTTTTTAAAGAAATGTAAAAAAATATGACCGGACGGTTCAAAGACTGCGCCGGACTTGGGAAGAAATTGTTGGGGTTTGCCGCGCAAAAAAGATTACGTGCAGCGAGAAAAAAGTCGAGATTAAAGAAGAAATAATAAAAGAAATAAAGTAAATATAAGAAAATTCAATAGTACAGCGAGCGAGAGGAATTCCTGCACGCAGTAAAAAAATTCTTCGAGGCAATAATAAAAGCCTTGCCATTTTGCTTCGCAGCGTTCGTGGAAATAATTCTCGTTTCTTTCTCCCATTCAAGCAGCGCGGCGGCGGCGCCGGTTCCTATGCAGGGGGGAAAAAAATTCTCCCTTAGACACCAAGAGGTAAGCCTTGCCATGGATTTCTCAGCAGGTCCCCAAGCAGCGGTTTCATTTATTTTGTAGAAAGGGGAAAAATTGGCTTAGGGCACCAAGAAGCCTTGCCATCGAAAATCCGAATCCCCCGCCTATATAAAAAGAGCAACGACGGAAGCGCCGCCTATATAAAAGGCGCGCTTTTAAACAGCTCGCAGAACTTAGAAAATTTCTTAAACTATAAAATATTTTTCAAGTACTTCTTCGACCTAAATATTTTTGAAGTACTTTGCCGCCTAAAAACTTATCATTTTCCTCAACTATAAGAACTTAGAAATTTTCGTATTGCGGCCAAAAACTAAGTTTTGACCAGCAATACGAAAAAATTTCTAAGTTCTTAGAATTTTCCGAACTTGTACCAAGAAACTAAGTTCTTGGCAAAGTCCGAAAAAATTCTAAGTTCTTAGAATATTTCGTACTTCTACCAGAATCTAAGTTCTGGCAAAGTACGAAAAAATTCTAAGTTCTAGCTAGAGTGTATGGAAGGAATTCAGGAACCCTAAATGATAACATTACTCAAAATAAAAAAAGTCTTTATTATGCAAAAAAATTCTGTTTGTACATCAGTTTACAAAATATAATTCATTCATTTATTTTCATCTTCTTTACCTCGACTGGAAAAGTATCATCACCTGAAAAAAAGCAAAAAACAAACATTAATTTCAATCAAAGCAAAGAAAATTATATCTCAAAACATAAATAATAAATATAAAATAAAATAGATTCTGAGTGCACGTTCTGTCTACGTATACGCAAATTATTTCTGCTTTTGAGTTGCACGCGTACATAGCCGTAGGCGCATTCTGCGTGCAGGTGAAGTCGATAGATGTCTTGTGCGTAGTGGAGGCAGGTTCTCTCTGTGTGGGGGCATGCATGCGTGTGGTATGTGCGCTCAGAATATATATATAATAAGTATGTGTGCAAGTTATTATTGATTATATATGCGAAGCTCTTGAGTGCAGCATGCGATTATTATAATTTATGCATGTGGAGAGTATTTGCTAGCATATCTTATGAATGCAGAGAGTGTGTGTTGAGATCTTGTAGAAATATATTTTATTTATTTACTTTTCGTATGTTTTAAGTTGATATTGATGTTTGTTATTTCATAAATAATTTCTTGACTGACTTCGAGTTAGTCCGCTGTCAAGTAAAAAAAAATTAAACAGCACAATTAAAAAAGTACAAGAAAATAAGAAATGAATACAAAGTCACTACACAAAATGAAAAATTATCAAAAATACAAAAAGGCATCATCCATTAAAAACAACTCAACACTTGCAAAGACATGATAAATGGGAAAAAAGATGACTTGCTTAAAAACATACAATTCATAAAAGCTGCTATGTTTTAAATTAAATAATATTTTGCCACAAAGTGTCTTTTAAAGCATCAACAGTCTTGTTTACATGGATGATCATTTATATATATTTCAAGTAATTATTCAACTCTGCACATTAGGCAAGATGAAAAGAATAACTGCAAGAGAATAAGAAAAAATAAAACAATAAAGAAATTAGACACAAAACGAAAAAAGAAACAAGAAAATAAAGTAAAAGACAATAAATACATACTAAAACCTGAAAGAATTAAAAAGAGCAAACTCTTTTAATTTCTTTCACCTTTTAGTATGTATTTATTTTCTTTTACTTTATTTTCTTGTTTCTTTTTCGTTTTGTGTCTAATTTCTTTATTGTTTTATTTTTTCTTATTCTCTTGCAGTTATTCTTTTCATCTTGCCTAATGTGCAGAGTTGAATAATTACTTGAAATATATATAAATGATCATCCAT